AGGTGCAGTACCTGCCTATCTGCTGGACAGAGAGGGGCAGTCCCGAGCGAAAGTACTCTCCAATATGATTAAACAAAAACGAAAGGAGAAAGCGGTAAGCAGCCCAAAATAAAATCTTTTATTTCTCTTTTGTTTAGGAGAACTACTTAAATTTAAACTTGAGGCTCCTAGTTTGTTTTGTCAATTTAGTTAACAACATGAAATCCAGCTATTATTCTCATTATTTTAAGTATCAGAATGTGAAGCTGTATTGTTTCTTGACATATCTTCTATGTAGGTCTATATACTTTTTTTTTTTCATTGTGAATTGGGTGAAAGTTAACAGAGCAGCTCAGTTCTCCATCAAATAATTCATACACATTGTATTTCCTTTCATTGATTACAGTCCCCACAGTGTAACATCACCTATCCTACTACTGCCCTGTGTTTTCTGTTTCCATTCCACCTTTTTTCCTAATCTTTCTAAATTTTGTTCTTGGGTACATGCTCCCATCTTGATCTCAAATGGTTGGTTATTCTAAGAAGCGCATACTTCACTAGTGTTAACTGTTCCCCCATAGACCTATTAATTTGCAAATTGAGCCTTGAGGGTAGTTCAGTTCCGGACTGAAGGGTGACTGAGAGGGTTCCACTAGTCCATCTGGACAGTAAGCCTGGCCTTTTTTATGGTTTTGAGTTTGGCTCTATGTTTTTCTCCCAGTCTGTCCAGGACCACCTAATGTGATCCCTTTCAGAGCAGTTGATAGTGATAGTTAAACACCATCTAGTAATTCTTATCCAAGGTCATAGAGACTAATGTTCATGTGGTCCATTAGTTCACTGGACTGTTACCTTACATCTTCAGTATTCTTCACATGTTTGTTCCTCCAGACAGAGAGAGATAGTTGTGCCTTAGATGCTGATGAGCTTTTAAAACCCAAGTCAGTACTCAACCAAAGTAGGATTTAGCATATTGTCTTTGTGGACTGTGTTATACCAGTTGTCCTGGGTGTCCCTGAGACTATAGTCCTGAGCCCCCCAGTCCAGCATCTCATTCCCTCAAGTTGTTTGGTTATGTCTAAGAAGTTTTCATAACTTTGATTCCTCTATGCTCTATCACATTCATAGATGTATTTGCAGCAAAGGTAAATAAATACTCATGTACAGATATCCTCAGTCAAATCTTTGTATATTTGTGGGTAATACACTCCTATTCCCATTATTTAAATCAGTCTTTGTATTCATTTATTTGGTATAAAATGTTTAGATATTAAACTTTTTTATTGGGGGTGGATATAAAATGTTCAGGTAATAAACCCTTACTGTTTTTTTAACCTGAAGATTTTGGCATGTTTTGGTTTTGTTTCTTTTTAGACTGCCATTATCTTTAGTTTGTATTTAATGTCTGGTCTCCAGTACTTGACAATCTGTGTTTGTTCAGTGGTTATGGAGAAAAGAGACAACTACTTGTTTGTGCTGCCCTGAAGTGCCAAAATGGGTTAACAAGTATAATGTTGTTGTTATAGGCCGTGGAGTCAGCTCCAACTCATAGCGACCCTGTA